ATTCCAAATGTTTAATTTCCCATTAATTTAATATATTTTTCATTATTACTATCCCCATTTAATGAAGTTAAGCTTTTGATTTATTTATTTACATATATTTTTTCGATGTTTAAGAAGTACAATTAATAAATTTTTTAATGAAAAAATTTATGAAAGACGCTTTTTTGGTGAGTATTCGCATCAATTCTTGTTGATATACATAAACATCAAGTGTGAGTGATCAATTACGATGTGTATCGTGATTCAATGGGCACGTTCAGAAGGCGCAACAGCTCAGTAACTTCTGCGATTACACCTTCTGAACGCGTTGTTGTGTGGTTCTGATCAACTGAACAGTTGCGTTTTAGATGATCGTAATATTTTTCTCTTCATTTGAGACAACATGTTGGTGTGTACCACTTTAAGGGGGTTTTCGCCTTATGTTTTTTGTAAAGAAATAAACACGGATTACGATGGTGTAATTTTCAATCCCTTATTTACTGGTCTTCACTATGCAAATCAACTTCAAAAAGTTCAACTGTTAATAGGTAAGTTAGCTTTAGGACAATCATGACCAATATAAGAATTAAGAAATGTTAAGCCCGCCTCTTTACCATTAAAATTACGTAAATATGAAGTCTCTACGATGAGCAGAACCCGAGATATAACTATTTGAAGTAGTACGGGATTAATCAGAATCACGAAAAAATCCAAACTTTGACAGATCATATCTCCGACGAAAAAAAAATGCCTGGAATACGTGTTAGCTTATGTCATGTATAGAACCTATACAAAAATTTTAAGCTAATCGAAAGTGTAACACCAAATTTGGTGTCCGATATGAAAAAGAATACCTCATATATTTTATTACATACATATGCATACCCCTTTGTATTTTAATTTTAGATGTTTTCTCAACACACGACTCTTTAGAATTTGAAAAGAGCGTACGCAAAGCAGTGGTGCGTGCCCATCGTCGGCTTTGGCAACAGAAGTACCTTCAAAAAGGCAAAACAACGACTACAGCTGCGACAACAACAACCAGAACCGCAACCTCAACCTCTACTTCAAGTTCTAATGCAAGCTGTAAATAATTTATAATAATTCCAAATTTTTAATTTCCCATTAATTTAATATATTTTTCATTATTACTATCCATATTTAATGAAGTTAAGCTTTTGATTTACATATTTATTTACATATATTTTTTTGATGTTTTAGAAGTACAATTAATAGATTTTTTTAATGAAAAAATGGATGAAAGACGCTTTTATGGTGAGTATTCGCATCAATTCTTGTTGATATACATATACATCAAGTGTGAGTGATCAATTATGATGTGTATCGTAAAGTTTCATCAGTAAAATAACTCTTCTTCTTACCGTTTTTCCTGGTAGTGTATTGTGTTTTTGGTTCAATGTGTTAAACTATGTTCCCATTAGCGTAATTTAGAGGTCAATCTTAATTTACGCATAAATTAAGTACAAACTAAGTAATTTCGCCTTGTAAAGTCTCTCAGTAAATTAAGTTGAAAGTACGTAGTTTATCTTAAACCAAGAACCAAATCACGAACAAATCAGTGTCGGCTCTAATTTTATCGATAATAATCGAAAAAAGTATTGTCCCATAACTGATATGTCATTGTGTTTGGACGTTTTTGTTTTTAATAATCGCGCGTGGTAGTTTGTAAAATATTTCCAGAAGCTTTCTCTTTTGATCACTCATCTAAAATCTAAAAAATTACCACAAACAACTCAGAATATAAAAATATACGCAATTACTCACATTCACGATCTTTTTTGGTTAAATAAACAATAACACAGGGTTGCTACAAAGCTGTAAAGAAAAATAAAGAATAGCGTGTATGAACGCACTTAATTTAGTGAGGTATTTTAAACGAAACTAAGTATTTTATGTTGGTAATGTGAACATAGTTTTAGTGTATTTTGAATAAATTGTAATAGAAATGGAAGAAATTACAATAGAAATGAAAGAAATTGTAAAAGATAAGAGCAAATGCCAAAAACCAGGTGATCCCAGTTGTGGGCATTTTTTGGCAATGAGCTGATAGTGTTTTTACTTAGGAAACTGTACGCTGATACAAGGTGCGATAAACTGACAGTTGTCTCTCTCGCACTGCTCCCTTAGCAGCGGCACCGTGTTGTTTCTTTGCAAATTTGCTTGGAAAAAATGAAGCTTTGCTGTGAAATAGAAGTATAAGCTTTTGTGCAATATGTTTATTTGTATATGCATATGAAGCACATTTAACTGATGAAAACATAAATTGTTTTTAATAGCACATAAATTACGTAATTCACGTAATACTTATATTAATATTTCGTTCAATTTTTCGTTTAAAATGCCAGATTTTTCTGTCCTTCGATGCTGTCAATAACTATCTTACCTTGTATTATTGAATCATAGATGTGTATGTACATCAAGTATGATTACGGCAGCGCTGGATAAAGCCTAAAAAGCTTTCTTGCACAGCGAGAAAAATTATTTATTTGCTTTGCTTGCCAGTCGAAGTTTAGCTGCTGAGCCAGCAGGTTGTGCGCTACTGGAGCTGTCGCTCAACGGTTGTATGCAGTGATCGGATTTGAAAAAAATTCTTGTGGTAGAATCTGGAAAAAAAATGTAGATTTCAAAAAATGTGGTAGATCTCAGGTTTTGGATCAAACTTTGTACAAAAATCAAAAATATTCTGCAAGGCTTCACCTAAGTTGCAAAAATTTAAATAGATCCTAAAAAAATTAATTTACTATAATAAAGTGCAAGATTGAAGTTGCTAAAAAATCCATTGAGTTTTGACAGTGTAAAGCAGTTCCTTCCATATTTATATATTTTTCGAACATATTTTGAAAGATTTCTGCAACCTCGCGTAGTGCTGTCAGCTTATATTTTTATCAATCGCAATGCAGCGGACAAATATGGCACGTTCCAGAAACCGCTACTTGGGATTTGCCGATTTTGACAATTCTCAAGTAAAAGTAAACAACGCTTTACTTTAGATGCACTGAAATTTTCTAATACTTTCACAAAAATCGCCGTTTTTCTAACATTTTCGCTATTAATTCTTTCTTATAAATCATATATTTTGCAACTTAACACAATAAAACCATGTTTCCTGTCGAAAAATTGAATATTGAAAAAAATTTTTACTATTTCATGGTTTATTTTATCCTCCCATTCTGTCTGTTGATGGTGTTTAGTGTTGGAAAATTTTTGCTCTTAAAATTAATAAAATTATGTCGAGCAAAAATAAAACTACTCAAAAACGCGAATATGTGGTAGATGCTAAAAAATTCGCAGATCTACCACAATGTGGTATAAGTCCGATCACTGGTTGTATGATGTATGCGTGTTGGGTCGTTTTTTGTTTAGTTCAAGTAAAGCAAACTGTGCGACCATTCCCTGAAGGAAAGATTGGTCCAATCGCTCGAAAAATATAGTCGTAGGTATAGTAGCTTTGTATCTAGGCCAAAGATAGTCCAAAAATATAAAGCCATGTAATGTAGAACAGGTGAATTGTACTAAAAAAGGTCCGAATCTAATGCATAAGGTATGAGTTTTGATCTAAAACTGGTTAAAGTGTGCTGCAATTGCGGACAACGGGTACAATTATCGACTTGCTGGAAGCATGGAAATTAAAATTTATTTAGTTTCCATATCAAACAGTACCGTGAATATGTGTCAACCTCACATTTTATAGCAAATGAAGCAATTTTTCCAGAAATTTGTTGTTAAAATTTTTTATTAAAACTTTTTACAATAATATTAGTTGATTCATTATATTTAATAGCATTATTGCCTATGATTGATGGCCGTTTTTATAGATTTTTAAAGTGAAAGAAAGATTGAAATAAAGACTCGATTAGAGTCGAACAATTCGAATCTTGCCGTCGATTATCCGATTCCAAGAATCGTAAGGATAAAATAAGATTCGAGAATCGATTATTTTTTAGAACTTTCCATTCCTATGCTCGATACATCGATGTTTTTTTACATTCCTAATCTAACAACACCACCTTGTATGAAAACGCCTTGNCTAACATTTTCGCTATTAATTCTTTCTTATAAATCATATATTTTGCAACTTAACACAATAAAACCATGTTTCCTGTCGAAAAATTGAATATTGAAAAAAATTTTTACTATTTCATGGTTTATTTTATCCTCCCATTCTGTCTGTTGATGGTGTTTAGTGTTGGAAAATTTTTGCTCTTAAAATTAATAAAATTATGTCGAGCAAAAATAAAACTACTCAAAAACGCGAATATGTGGTAGATGCTAAAAAATTCGCAGATCTACCACAATGTGGTATAAGTCCGATCACTGGTTGTATGATGTATGCGTGTTGGGTCGTTTTTTGTTTAGTTCAAGTAAAGCAAACTGTGCGACCATTCCCTGAAGGAAAGATTGGTCCAATCGCTCGAAAAATATAGTCGTAGGTATAGTAGCTTTGTATCTAGGCCAAAGATAGTCCAAAAATATAAAGCCATGTAATGTAGAACAGGTGAATTGTACTAAAAAAGGTCCGAATCTAATGCATAAGGTATGAGTTTTGATCTAAAACTGGTTAAAGTGTGCTGCAATTGCGGACAACGGGTACAATTATCGACTTGCTGGAAGCATGGAAATTAAAATTTATTTAGTTTCCATATCAAACAGTACCGTGAATATGTGTCAACCTCACATTTTATAGCAAATGAAGCAATTTTTCCAGAAATTTGTTGTTAAAATTTTTTATTAAAACTTTTTACAATAATATTAGTTGATTCATTATATTTAATAGCATTATTGCCTATGATTGATGGCCGTTTTTATAGATTTTTAAAGTGAAAGAAAGATTGAAATAAAGACTCGATTAGAGTCGAACAATTCGAATCTTGCCGTCGATTATCCGATTCCAAGAATCGTAAGGATAAAATAAGATTCGAGAATCGATTATTTTTTAGAACTTTCCATTCCTATGCTCGATACATCGATGTTTTTTTACATTCCTAATCTAACAACACCACCTTGTATGAAAACGCCTTGGGGTAAATGTGTGCACAATTGTTTTTGTGTGTTTTAGGCCATTAACCGTATAAACAAAACCGTCATTGTGAATACCAACACTACAGGATTTTTCGGCAAAATATTCCTTGCAGGACTTTGTGAAATACTTCAACTATACTGTGCTTTAACGAAAAAGAAATTATTCATAATTAAATACACTGATAAAATGGCTTGCCGATTGTGCTTAAAAAAACCGGGAGATTTTTTGGAAATCTTCAAAGAAAGTGGTGAATTAGTTGAAGGGGGTGCCAAAGAAATTATAGAGAAATACTTCCAAATTCAGGTAACTTGATTAAATTCTATTTATCAACCGTATATTAATAACAAATTATCATCAATCTGCACAAAAATCTAGATTACATTCAACGATGAAATCTCAAATAAAATTTGTTTGGTTTGCTGGCGTTATCTAAACGAATTCCACAGATTTTGGTTGAACATTAAAGAGAAGCAACAAACACTGCAAATCGTTTTTGATTGTATGAAGATTAAACGCGAAGCGTCGAAAGACAGTGCCTATGAAATAAATTCAACATTTGATGGANCAGGATTTTTCGGCAAAATATTCCTTGCAGGACTTTGTGAAATACTTCAACTATACTGTGCTTTAACTAAAAAGAAATTATTCATAATTAAATACACTGATAAAATGGCTTGCCGATTGTGCTTAAAAAAACCGGGAGATTTTTTGGAAATCTTCAAAGAAAGTGGTGAATTAGTTGAAGGGGGTGCCAAAGAAATTATAGAGAAATACTTCCAAATTCAGGTAACTTGATTAAATTCTATTTATCAACCGTATATTAATAACAAATTATCATCAATCTGCACAAAAATCTAGATTACATTCAACGATGAAATCTCAAATAAAATTTGTTTGGTTTGCTGGCGTTATCTAAACGAATTCCACAGATTTTGGTTGAACATTAAAGAGAAGCAACAAACACTGCAAATCGTTTTTGATTGTATGAAGATTAAACGCGAAGCGTCGAAAGACAGTGCCTATGAAATAAATTCAACATTTGATGGAAAAAATAATATATTGTGTGAACCTGAGTTAATCATAGATGATATTAAGGGGGAACCGAATTTAGCTGGGGATTTTGATGATAGTATGAATGAAGATTCGTCATTGCTGCTTCCAAAAAGTTCCGATGGTAAGTGACATGAGCTTAGTTACTTTAGACAAATGCAAATAAAAACGTATCCTTTTTGCTAGTTAAAAATAGTGAACAGCCCGAGGAATGCGATCAAATTCATGGCTGCGTTTCTTTATACATTCCGCATAATCCCATTTCACAGCCGGAATAAACAGAATGCGTTTGAAATATACGTTAACATATCATCAAGAACGTTCTAAAGATTAAGTAAACAAAAACAAACGGCCGGAATGAATAAAGAAATGCAGCCCATATGTATAAAATTTATGCTTTGACTTAACGTTTTATGGAATAAAAAATTTTGCTGTGCCAATCGCATTACAACTTTTATTATACGCCTACATACATATGTACTTCTCTGCCAGCATTTTATATTGCGGAAATTACTAATTGGGTACAACATTTCAGTGAAAATCATCGCCAATTATATAGCTATTTTTCCAATTCTTATCCGCTCTCGGGAAGGATTTTTCCACCAAACCGATACTCCACTTAGGAACTATTGCGATGGGAATTATAGTAACTTTCGCAACAAAGTCTAAAGTGTTAAAGCATATTATTCGGTTGCTTAAATTTTTAATAAAACGCATTGGGAAATTTAGAATACCTCTGAGCTTGCAACTCCAGCTGCAGAATTAAACTGCTAAGCATAATTGAAGCTTAGTGAAAAGCAGTTGCAAATCTTCATAGAAAAAAGGCATTAACATAATAAACCCAATGATACAATAAAGAAGGTACTAGTTTCACTTTTAAATTTTTTAAGTAGCAGTGCCACCTCAACAGATTATTGTTTTAGAAGTTAATTTTAATATTTTTTTTACAAGCTTTTATTTAACTTGCTTTGTTTGTATGTACATTAGACTGTCCCAAGAATATATGGGCAGAAATTTGTTTGCATATTTTGATGTGCATACCCTAAATAGCATAGGTATACATGAAATTTTATTGCCGTAGGATAACGACGACCCGTGCCAACTTTTAGTTAACTTTAATTAATCGTCCACGAAAACTTTGGAAATGGGAAAAATTCGATGTTTCCCTTATTTGAACGCATTTCTAGTAAGTCTGCATCTTTAAATTTTAAAAGGACGGCAGGATTTCTCCGAAGGACATCGAAACCTATTAAGTAAAGGAAAATATCCTTAGCAAATTTTATCCTTCAATATCCTTATATATATTTATAGGATTTAAATTAAACTAAAATTAAAAATGCATTAAAAATTAAAGTTCTTGAAGGATAATTTTTGACATGTTCCAAAAGAATAATTGAAAACAAAAGTTTTAGTTAATCTTGTTTAGAATTTTTCTTTTAATTAAAACCCATATGCCCTTATTGTGTGTAAACTTTGGAAAATTTGTAATTAATGGTCCTTTGGAAAAAACCTGACAACCTGGTAAAAAACTAAAAACGCAGATTTACTAAATATTAATAAAATGAGTAAGTTAACAAAACACGCGAACTGCACATAGATTATTCTGGTAACTTTGACTAAGCGTTGGCTCGGGTTGCCGTGATCCGAATTGCATAAACTTTTATTTTGATAGTTTTCAAGACAACCAATAAAATGAGGGGCGGGAAAATTTTAGTAAAAATCGACACGAAAAAAAATGGAGGTCTGAGGGAGGGTTTTTTCATTCAAAAAGTGAAGACCCAAACCCGCGGACTCTTTTTGAGTAATTTGTTATTCAAGTTCCGAAATTCACCAAATATATTGATTGACAATTGCATCGACTTTATCATTCAAAAGCGCGTGAAATACATAAATGTGTCTTAATTGTAAACACTTTTAATGAACATGCCCATTTTCTTTTAACTAATATGGTATTCTTGTTAATTTAACCACGATAAAACATTTATAAAAGTAGTGAAGTAGTAAACATGCGAGGGTTGTAACTGAATGGCGAAGTTGGTACTGCCAGACGATTTAATAATGTCAAAAGTAATATCGCTGAAATTTTGACTCCAATTTTTAGGTTTAATAAAATACTTGACAGCGTGGTTGTTAATTCTATACATTAATTTTGCTTTATTGTATAGTTTCAGGCAGGCTCATCCTAAACTATGTATTTGTCAACTTTTATTATGGGTTATTAACATTTTATTTTAATATTGTTATCGAGATTTGTACCACGATTTTTCTATTAGGGAAAATTGAAAAAGCACAAGAAAATGTCTTAGTTATTTCTTGTGCGTTATTTTATATGGAGTTTTTGTTGTTGTTGTTGTTGTAGCGGCTACAACAACCCCGCCCAGATCGGTTGGTATCTCAGTCGTTGTCGTCAAGTTCCACTAACGGCAACCCTAGGAAGCGTGCAGCTTCTGCGGGGTTTGCCCATAAGGACAA